TGAATCTTTACAACATGGTTATTACTACCTTCAGGGAAGGAGGTTAAAATTGGGCAAAACAGAGTGAGGAAACCTGCGACATCCTAATATGCTCTACTAGCAGCTTCAGTTGTTGATCCCCTGGTCTGGGGACAGAAAGCTAACACCACACTCCTGGGCAATACAGCTCCCAGGGCAGCTCCTAAGTCTCCTCATTCTTATCTGCATCCTAGAAATCGTAGGCCTCACCAGGGTGTGGACGTCTTGTGCTCTGATGGATCTACTGTGTATGCACCTTTCAGTGGAATGATTGTGGGCCAGGAGAAACCTTATAAAAACAAAAATGCCATCAATAATGGTGTCCGGATATCTGGAAGAGGTAAGAGGTGGTGTATATGTTTGGGACACATATGGAGATGTTGGATATTTATTTATCGAATGCATATCCCATAATTGAAATTTCATACTTCCTTCAAGATGATAAAACCTACAACATAAAGGACTTGGTGTAACAAACTAAAACAGCTTAATGCACTTCCAAAGATGCTACACTGGTTTCCTGGAGTCATCTGCTTTTATGCACACACTCCATCTACTTCTCTAGCTGACCGAGGGCTTTCTTCCTGTGGCCCATGTGGTTTTGCTTAACAATCTATAAACAAAACCACTTTCAGCAATACTAACTATCATGAATACATACTTTCATTTACCCAAATTCCACAATTGGAAAATGTTGGCCTTTCTCCAAGAGTTGACTGGGAAATATTTACAAAGCCCTCTATATTCTGGGTAAAGCTGCGTCTCCTGGTGTTCCAGGGATTGGAATTATAACACACACAGAGAAACGTGCACAAAGCCTAAGTGTGCAGCTCCATGAATTTTCAGAAAGTGAATGCACCTATGTAACCAGCACCCAGGTCAAGACAAAGAACAGTAGCAGCATCCCAGAGACTATTTGTGCTACTTTTTTCATTATTCCCAGCAAGGGCAATCGCTTTCCCACCATATGTTAGTTTTGCCTGTTTTTGAAGATAAATAGAATTAAACAGCATGCGGTCTCTTTTATGGGGCTTCTTTCCGTCCACATCATGTTTGTGAGATTCATCCATATTTTGCACATCGTTTTAGTTCAATCTTATGGCTCTATGTAGTATTCCATTACATGCATATATCTTAATCTATTTAGTCATTCTTCTCTACATGGACATTTGGGCAGTATCCAGTGTTAGGGATTATGAAAATGCTGCGATGAACTTCCTTGCACATGTCTTTTAAGGAACATGAACATGCATTTCTGTTGGCAGTGAGCCCA